CAGACTGAGTCCCCGGATACTTCGGCCAGTTCTGACTCTTGAGGACAACACATACCTCTCATCAAAGTAGCCAGAACGTATCTGTGGAATAAAAGAAATTAATATAAATCACAAACACAGTAGGTGGGGACAGAGGGCCTTGGGGAAAAACAGATTCCTGACATTCTCTTCCTAGTCTTAAGGTGACCATATAGAGGAGTCCTCATTGCATGCATTGGAAGGAGAAGTCCATTGGGCAAGCAGTCCAATTGAAGAGGGCATTATGATCCCTCCCCCACCTGCCCACCTTGCAGAATGGTCATTCTCAAACACCCTCTCTTCTTCATGTCTGCTGCTTAAAACACAATCCTTTCTCCACACCAAGGCTGAAAGCTCAGCAGTATAATGACCATGAGTCAAAAGATAATTAAGGATCGAAGAAACAGAATGCTGTTCATGAGGCAATGCAAATCAAAAGTGGAATATTTGACCCACCTTACTGGCATCCAGGTCAGTGGTGTGTTTCATTATCCGGGGATCATATCCATTATGTCGTTCTTGGATAACAGGGTCAAACAGCTCAGCAAATACCTGAAGGAGAATTCAGAGGGAGAGGATGGTTCAGGAGGGGGCATCCCCTCCTAGGCTTTAAACGTGGATTGATTTCACTGGGTCAGAAAAAATAAGTACAGATGGATCAGTTTCAAGGGTAAGTGAGGGGTTTTAATGGGGAAGGAGCTGGGATTACTGGGCAGATGAGTTGGATCACCAGGGAAACTCTGAGGGCCCCCTACCTCATAGCTTTCCTCATCTCCAGCTACCATGCCCACAGTCTTGATGAAGGGGTGGCCGGGGTTGTCCACGCCAGTCTGGATACACTGATCTAGCGTCCAGCCAGTGGGTGTGGTCTTGTCGCAGAGCCGGGCATAGACTGCTGGGGTCAGGTGACTGGCCATGCAGTTGTTGTGCTTTCGGAGGTCTGGGTACTCAGCACTGGGGAGGGGGTACCCAGTAACCATGGAGGGAGAGCACAGGTGGCCTTGACCTAGTGCCCTCAGCCAGGAGCTGTCCTAGTAGCTGTGTCTGGCTGTCCTCCTGGGGAGGAGGGGAGACTATAGAGAAGCTAAACCTTGGTAATCTCATTAGGGATTTCAGGGTCTATTCTTTCCCAGCAGTTCTAGCTTCCTCTGGCTGGCCAGCTCAATTCTCCCAGATCTGCTCAATTCTTCCATCCCGTAAGCACAACATTAAGAATGGGGGAGGGGAAAGACGAAGGAGGAAATCTAGGAAATGGGGGAGAACAACAAGAAAAGGAGACGAACGAGGTCAAAAAGGATAGTTCCTGATCTCTCAATTAGGGATTTGGACAGAGATGCAACCAGAACTCGCTGGACCAGGTTACAGATCCCCAGAAATGCTTTGGCCTTGTGGTTTTTGCTTCCACCCCCACCCCATCAGCACTAGGCCATGGCGCGAGGATCCTGCTACCGAATGTCAGGTCAGGAGCAGGCTCAGGGCAGGAACCCAGAGGGCGGTCTCCAGACTGTACAGCAGCCCACTCCAGAGCCTTCGTGGCTATAGCCCTTCTCTGCTACCCGGTCCTCATCTCCATCCCCATCTCCGTTCCCATCACCACTTCCCGGGGTGCGGGTGGGGGCTCAGACACTGATACCTCGGGGGATACATCCTCCGTCGTTCACTGGCGGCTCGTACAGGTTCCGGGCGGAGCAGATATCCAGCAGCTAGAGAGCCAGCTCCAGCCAAAGCCAAGAGCCTGAGCCCGGGGCGGGCGGACAGCAGACGAGAGAAGGGACCGGCCATGGCTCGAGGATCCTGCTACGGAATGTCAGAGCAGGAGCAGGCTCAGGGCGGGAACCGGGAGGAAGGATGCCACCGGGGGGATTGCGGGCCGGAACTGCTGGGTGCAAGGCTGGATCCGAAATGAGGCCCGGAGTGAAGGCTGGAGGGGAAGCCGGTACCGAGCAGCCTGCAGGAAAGGCGCAATGAGCTAGCGGGAGGAGGCGAGGCAGGCCTCAGCCGCAGTCTCCAGGGGTGGGGCTCACCCAGACCCCGCCTTCCGCCTGCCACCGCGCTAGGTGTGCGGAGACAGAGGTAGGCGGCAACCGCCTGGTAGATTAGGGGGACCAGAGGGACCGGGGATTTGCACCCCTGGGATAAGGCTGCCCAGATTTCAGCACCAAGTAGAGGAACAGCACCCAAGGGGTCTGTTCGAATACCCTTCCCCCAAGCCTCTCGGTTTAATTGGAAACTCGGTTCGTCACTCTGGGAGTGTGAAAGGGTGATCGTGCCCAACCTCTTCTCTGTTTTCAGCCTGCCCCAGCAACCTCTCCGTCTTCCCAGGGGAGGGAGCCCCGGGGGATACGCACAGATACCAGAGGAACACACGGAGAAAGCACAGAGTTAGAGGCAGAGACTGGGAAAGACATCCGCTGGTTCAAGGTCACCTTTTCTTTAGAACCAGGAAGAGAACCCAGGCACCTCCCTTCATACCTGCACTCTCCTTACAAGGTCGAGAAGAATCAGGGAAACATGAACTCTTACCTGATCCATGCTGTGTTCCCCCACCCTGCCCCTGCCCCCTAATCTGAAGCTCTGCTATGTCCTGCCTACACTTCTTAGGGTCCCTCACACTTTTTCCCTTCTCCACCCCCCTTCCCATCCCCTGGTTCACCTTTGATCTTTTACTTCTCAGCAGTCTATTCCAGGCTGCTCACAGGACTCCCTCTGAGTAGTTTCTGCAAACTTGCTTACCTGTTGGTTGCACGGAGGTAAGGCTGGGGTCGGGCAGGGAATTGTTGGTTTCCTCTTCCTCCTCTCCCCTCTCTGTAGCTCCCAGTTCCTGGGCTGACGTGGAGTATAAAAGTGAGTTAGTTACAGGGTGTGGTGAGATGATTGGGTGCAGGAATGGAACAGGCGGGCACAGGTTCCCGTTCACCACAAGTGTTTCCTCTCTTGGCTCCCTAATGCTGTTTAATCCAGGGTGTAAGGGGGGAGTGGTGTCCCAGGGCATAAGGTCTCCAGGAAATCTCAATCTTCCCTTTGGTCCTCTGTCTTCCCCTCTTTCCTTAGATTTAAGAGGGCTTTATTCCTACAGTTCCCAGTGTGACTTTGGTGTGACTTGACTTTTGTCCTGGCAGAAAGGAGAATAAATGTTGGAGCTGAAGTAGCGATGGGGGGTTTCAATATGGAGGGTCAGTTAAGGTGGGGTAGTCATGGTGGCATTAGCCCCTTCCCTCCGCTTTCTTGGTGTATCCACAAGACAGTAAGATACTTGAAAATCTTAGGGGAGATTATTTGAGAAAGAGATATTCCTACAACTCCACCCCTATACTCTCATTCCCTTCATTCTTCTCAGGCTTCCCTTGTGGTCCTTTTCCTGCCTTCTTCATTTGTGGGTATCTTTAGAAGCCATCCACCTCTCTTTTGGGTCCACCACTTAATTCCTTTTTCTCCTGGTCAAAGAGCAATTATCGAATTCTGCAGTTGAAGTACGGTCATGCTTGGAGAGACACACAAAATGTTACCTGTGTTGTGGGGGCTTATTACCTAAATTGAGGAGTAGCTATGAGTAAGCAAATATAATTACAGGCTGCATATTTACCCTGGTAAAGGAGGGAGATAATCTTCCAGAACAGTAGGGTTATTTGATTGAGATGGCAGTTACTAAATTAAAGAGGTAGGAAGCGAGAATTACAGAAGGAAAAATAAGAATTGCCTAGAGGAGTAAAGAAATCACTCAAGCCCTGGCCAGGTAGCTCAGTTGGTTAGAGCATTGTCCCAATACACCAAGGTTGTGGGTTTGATCAACTTGCTTAAGTTCTACTTGCTTAAACTCTGCAGGGACCTTGGGAATGCCACAAGTCAAGGCAAATACAAGAATCAACCAATGAATGCATAAATAAGTGGAAAATGGATCAATGCTTCTCTTTCTCTCTCTCCTCTCCCTCACATCCTCTCTCTCAAGTTAATTTTAAAATCTTAAAAAATAAATCACTCAATATATGGCATTTAATAATAATTATCAACCACATTCAATATTTATAAAGTACTTTACAATTACAAGGGACTCTTGTGTGTATTATATTATTGAATTGAATTGTATTGTTCCAACGGATGACTAAAGATTGAGTCTACATTTCCAGGAGAATGAGAAGATATGTTAATTACCTACAAGATGCTTTAATAACTTGTTTGAAAGGTTGGCGTGGTAGAAAGGATATGAGCCTGAGCATGAACTAAGGAGGTTTCTATTTCTCTTAGGGCCAGTCATTAGAATCATCTCTATCCCTTTTGGGAAGCCTTGGGGTCAGTATAATATGCACCTGACTGAAAAAGTGGTAAGATTTCAAAGGGTGCAGGAAGAAACAATGAACTTGGAATTGTTTTAATCAGGGAAATCTATGTGAGGCTGCAAATATAGCAATACAAACATATACAAAATGCTTTCACATAATCAGTACCCTATGAGTTAGGTTTTTAACCCCACTCTTTTACAGATGAGAAAACGGAGGCCAAAGCAAGTTCAGTAACTTGGGCTGCACAGCTATTACAAGCAAGGCCAGGAGTCAAGTCTAGAGGACAGAGAACAAGCAAAGTGAGGAGAAAGGAATCAACTTGTTCAGTCTTCCATGTCCACTCATTTACTTGACATCTTCACTCGGTAACATTGTTAACTCATATTTATTGGATCTCTACGTATATCACACTCAGTTTTTATTTTTTGTAAAACAAAAAGAAGACGAGGTTTTGTCCTCCAGGAGGTGCAACGACACAAACTCTTCCTCTTCCTTTGCATGTTGCTCCCCTCACCCTTCCCCCGCCCCCTCCCACTTCTTTGTATCACTGGCAAGTGCAGCATCTGAATTGTGGCGACGCAGTTAGAAATCGGAGCATCAGGTTGCACTTCCCCCACAGTGCCGCTAGGGGCCACCCTCCTCCGCGCAGAAGCGCCGGCCAACGCAGCCTGACTCCGCTGCCGGTGCGCGCCCTCCGCTGATTGGTGGCACCGCAGAGAAGTCGCGCTTTGATTGGGCCGCTGTCAGGTGTCGCTGCCGGCAGGTTCGGCTGCGCGAGCGCGGGGAGGCGGGTGAGTGCGGGCCGGGGGCGGTGGGGGAGTGGCTGGGGGCTGGGGGCGGTCTCCGACGGGGTGGGCTGGGGAGAGTGGGCTTGCTCGGGGCCGAGGGCTGTGGTTAGACCCCGCTGGGCGCCGCTGGGGAAGGAGACCCAGCGGAGAGGCCTCAATGTCAGCGCGGGGACAGTGCCCGCGGCCGGCGGGGGCGGGCAGAGGCTGGTGGAGTCAGGCTCGGAGGGCGGTCGGGGTCCGCGGGAGCTGCGAGAGGACCCCGGAGGGGTCGGCGGGAGCGGAGGCGCGCGGGAGGGTCCGCGTGTGGAGCGCCGGCGGCGCGGGAGACGGTCGGGGTGGGAGTCCGAGGAGCCGCGGGAGAGGAGTCAGCCTGGAGGGTCAGCCCGAGAAAGGGGTTGTGGCCGAGAGAGGCGGTGCGTGGCGAGGGGTCTTGCGCGGAAAGACTGGGTCTCAGGCCGCCTTTGGGCGGGGGGGGGGGGGGGGGGGGGGGGGGGGGCGGGGGGGGAATCCCTGCGGGTTCCACGGAAATAGTGACCGAGCGCGGTGACTCGGCCGAGGGTGGAGGACTGGTTAGTGCTGGGGATCTAAGCGAGAGCTCAGTTCGATGGTTATGTGATGAGCCGCTCGGGGATGGGGTGGCGAGGGGAGCCGGGGAGGGGCGTTGCAGCGAGCTGGGGAAGGAAGGCCGAGGAGCCGGTCGACGCTCAGGACCAGGGCACGGGCGCAGGGCATCGGCGTCGGGAGGAGGACTAAGAACGTGGCATCGGAAGGAACTGGGGGGCCCGCTGGTGAAAGTGGGGAGCGGGCAGTCGGGGGCCCCGAGTTTACTGTATCGGAAGGATTCCTGCCTGAACTTAGTGTTGATGCTTCCCCTCGCTCCAGCCAGTGGGTGGTGGTCGGGGAAGCTGGAGGACTCCCGCAAGCAGCCTTGCATGCTAAGGGGTGAAGAAGTCACCGCGTCTGCCCTCTCTTCCGCCCCGTCTCCAGATCTGACTTCACAGAGATGTTCCCGAGAAAATTGCCACCTGCCCCTCCCATCCTACTTACCCTCCCCCCCTTCCTCCCTCATCCCCTCCTTCCTTTCCTTTCCCTTCCAGGGGTACTGGCTAGAGTAGGACAGCCCTTTAACCAAATGTAGACTCTGAAGTTTTCTTTTCTTTCGCAACAAAGTATTGGGTGAGAGGGGATGGGAGCAGAGCACAGAAAACAGGGGGTGGCTCTTGGAACACCACCTTAAGCCCCAGCTTCTCCCAAAGGTACATCTAAATAAGCCCTCGCTTATTTCATATCTATTTCTGTCAGGCTTCTATTTTTGCTTTGTTAACTGTGAGTTTAGGCCTCTCATCTCTCCTGTAAACAGACACTCCTTCCTCCTGTTACCATCTCTCCTGTTATAGAGTTGCAGTAGAACTTCAAGAACACGATCGCGTGCTAGTATATTCAGTAGAAAACCAGGAAGGCCGCAGTGTAAGAAAGGGTGAAAGGTTAGAAATCTTAGGCAGGAGAAAAAAGCTCCTGCTTCAGAGGAAAGATAAAGATTGCCACAAAGTTCTACTTGCTTAAACCCTGCAGGGACCTTGGGCATGCCACAAGTCATGAAAATTGGGTCAGGTCACTGAAAAGGAGTTCAAAGAAACAGCCTATTAATCAGGAGGGGAGCATACAAGGCCTTCGGTGCACAACTGCAACTGTTAAGTCTAAGGAGAATGCCGTGCCCCCAGGGTGGTTGAGCAAGGGAGACAAGTAGATGGTGAAGACTGGAAAGGACTCACTTTATGTAAAGGTTAACAGTAACTTTCTAATCAAAACGGCAACTCCCGCTGGCAAAATTCTAAAAAAGGAAAAAAACATGCCCGAGCCGGTTTGGCTTGGTGGATAGAGCCTTGGCCTGCTGATTGAAGGGTCTCCGGTTCAGTTCCAGTTGAGGGCATATGCCTGAGTTGCAGGCCCATTCCCCAGTGCAGTGTGTGTAGGAGGCAGCCGATCAATGATTCTCTCTCATCATTGATGTTTCTCTCTCTCTCTCCCTCTCCCTTCCTCTCTGAAATCAATAAAAATATATTTAAAAAATAAAAATAAAAACACACAAAAGAACCTACAACTCCCACTTGTAATGGAAGGGTTTAAATAAAAATACAGAAAGTAATTATTATTGAAGACTATTTAAAATTTCATAAGACTAAGTTAATCCACTTCAGGAGTTTGTGGCTTTCTAGAGTCAGTATTTCTGAGACCTTTTGGAGAATGTGGGAAATTACTGATGTGTGACTCAATTTTATTTTTGGGAAAAAAGTAATAGATATCCATATCCCCATAATTTAGTATTAATAAATGTTAATACTTTTGTATATTTGCTTCAGATTTTAAAAATTGAAATAAACATTATAGATAGGATTGGGAAGTTCCATTCAAATTCTTGTCAGTTCCATTCTTCCCTCGCCTCAGAGGTAACTGCTATCATGCATTTGATGTTTGTCTTTCCAGTCTATTTTTATATTTCTACTATTTATGTATACAGTCATAAACATAAGTAATATTTTTATTTATACAAATGGAACTGTGCTACATGTATTTCTACAGTTTTTATTTGGAAGCTGTCCTTACTGTTTGATTCATTTAAAAAATATTTTTATATGTTTTTATTGATTTCAGAGAGAGGAAGGGAGAGGGAGAGAGAGAGAAACATCAGTGATGAGAGAAAACATTGATCAGCTGCTTCCTGCATACCCCTACTGGGGACTGAGCCTGCAACCTGGGCATGTGCCCTGCTGACTGGGAATCAAAACCATGACTTCCTGGTTCATGGGTCAGCGCTCAACCACTGAGCCACACCGGCTGGGCTGATTCATTTTTTTAAAAAATTGCTCTTAGTCTATCATTTGTGTACATTACATTGTATTTATCCATTCCTCTACTTGCGACATCTGAGTTGTTTTTATTTTTTCCCATTACTGACTGAGGTTATGAGCATCTTTGCACATATCTTATGTGAGAGAGTTTCCCTACAGCAGGGTTTCTCAACCTTGGTACTACTAATATTTTGAATGGGATAATTCTTTGTTGTGGGGGAATGTCCTGTGCATTTTAGACTATTTGGCAGCATGGCTCTGGCTGGGTAGCTCAGTTGGTTTTAGCATCATCCCCATATGCCAAGGTTGCAGTTTGAGCCTGTTCAGTGCACATACAAGCAGCAACCAATGAATGTAGAAACAAGTGGAACAACAAATTGATGTTTCTCTCTCTCTCTCTCTCTCTCTCTCTCTCTCTCTCTCTCTCATTTTCTCTCTCCCTCTCTCTCTAAAATAAATAATAATAATCATAAAGAATATTTAGCAGCATCTCTGGCATCTGCTGACCAGATGCCAATAGCACCTCCCCAGATATGACAACCAAAAATGTCTCCTGCAGATGTCCCCTGCACAGCATATTCACAATTGGTTAAGCACCACTACTCTAGGTATATGTACGCAGAAGCAGAACTGCCAGGTTGTTCTGACTCAAGTTTAAGTCTTAAGATATTCTCACTGATTATGGCTCTAGGCAGGATATTTTTCCATTGTAGTTTCTGGTGTGAGGGACCTTGGCCTAGAGGAGGCTTGGGTCTGTAGTACCAGATGTGGTAGAGAGAAAATTGAAATTTCAGTTTGAAAATGGATTGGAGGCTGTTGTGTGGATGCTTGTATCCTCAGCCTAACAACCAGCATTACACCTATTTCCTTGAACAGATTTTCTGAATTTGGGCATCTTGTTTTTTTAAGGTGGAGCAGATGAAGGAGAGACGGGGGAAAGAGAATTTCAGTGTTCTGATAATGCTTAGAACATAAGGTGCCTTTAAGAAATGTGTGGATTTTTTAAAAAAAATTAATCCATGGTAGGAATGAAGATGGGGGTTAAGGGCAATACAGCTGATCTCTCGTTCCTCTGCCCTTGAATTAAGTCACTGAGTTCAGCACTACTGTAGGGAAGTGGAGAAGGACTAGGAATATTTTGGAATGAATCCAGCATTTGAAATGTCACTTTAACCTTTTCTCATAGGAATCGACAGTAACCTTCCATGAGGAACTGCCTTTCCTATGTGCTGCTGGAGTTAACGGGTGTTTCCTGCTGGCAGAATCAGGGACATGACAGCACTGTAAGGGTTAATCCACTGATCCTCTAATCAGTCTCACAGCTGGAGGTGGGGTGAGCAGAAAAGGGAGACTTTGCTTTTCTGTTATGGATCTCTAGTCATTTCAAGTCTTAGCCCATGTGCATCCTTTCCTGTTGATCCTTCTTACCATAGCTTTGTTTCCCCTAATTCCCGAGTTGTTTCCTCTTATTTCCTCATTCCCCACCCCATACCCCTACCTACTGTCATAGGGCTTGGATTCTGAGCTAATGGGATACTCTCCACTGCAGAGCGGGATGAGTGGGTGCTCCGGCGGGGATGTGGTCATTTCGGACCAGTGAGAGCGAGAGTGCTACAGCCCACTTCTTCCTTGGAGCTGGAGATGAGGGGCTGGGCACCCGTCATCGAATAGGCATGAGGACAGAAGACAGTGACAGCGAGCTCCTTGAGGATGATGAGGATGAAATGGTAAGACTAGAGAAAATGATGTAATTTGGTATTGGGGCCCCTGTTATAAAGAATTGAGATTCCATTTGGAAGACACCTTGCTATTCTTTCCAAATGCATAGACTCCCTCATAAACGGGCCCTATCTTGATGAAGAGGAGGAGGACTGGAGAATGGTTGGATTGCCTCCCTTTGAAGCCCCTACTCTATTGTCTCATGGTTACTGGTTCTCTGGCTCTTCTGCCTAAGCACACATTTCCTACTATGGAAAGGCTCCTATTCTGCAAGCAGTAGGAATCCCTATAGGCACCCCAATCTAAGATGTAAGTTAGGAGACAACTTTTACTCCCTGGGTCCAAAGTCCTGGCAAGAAACTCTGTGCCCTAAAGAGATGAGATAGTGTTCCCTGATAGGGATGGTCTAGGTGGGAAGTTCCTGAGTTCCTGACAGCACTTCCTCTCTGTAGCCTCCTGAACCTCAGATCATTGTTGGCATCTGTGCTATGACCAAGAAATCCAAGTCCAAGCCAATGACCCAAATCCTAGAGAGACTCTGCAGATTTGACTACCTGACTGTTATTATCCTGGGAGAAGATGTGATCCTCAATGAACCTGTGGAAAACTGGCCATCCTGCCACTGCCTCATTTCTTTCCACTCCAAAGGTTAGGGTCTGAGAAGGAAATGGGAAGGAATGGTGTTGGGAATGCTGGACTGGGAAATGAAGTTCTTACTGTCAGATAGTAAAGAAGCCTTCAGTTCTTCCTGACACACTAGAGAGCAGTGCAAAGGGGTTTGTTTTTCCTACATCTTAGGGGAGTTGCTGCAGGTAGTGGAAAGCCCATATTTAAACCTCAGGACAGCTCTACAGCTCTTACGATCTCTTTTTTTTTTTTTACAAAAAACAAAAGGCAAATGTGTTCTTTATTTTAACACTAGATGGGACTCTTGCGATCTTGAAGGACCCTAAAAATAAGTTCTTTTTTATTTTCTTCTGATGGATACTCTAGATTTGGGAAGTTGGACAGAGGATAAGAGATGGGATGGATGGGTAGGGGAGCTCAATGGCAACTAATAGCTTTAATATGTCTATTTCTCTTGCTGTTTTTTCACTCTGTCTCTTTCACTTTCTTTCTTTGGTCTCTACTTTCTTTCTCCATCCCAGGCTTTCCTCTGGACAAAGCTGTTGCTTACTCCAAGCTTCGAAACCCCTTTCTTATCAATGACCTGGCTATGCAGTATTACATCCAGGATAGGTATAGCTTTCTGTTGACTGGTGGGTGGGTGGGTGGCCCTGAGATCATGCCTGTTTAGATAACTCTGGGAGGGGCAGAGTCAAACAAACATGCTTAATTTTTGTACCATATCCTCTTGAGTTCTGAACCATGGCAATTCCCAGTTCTTAAGCATATGAAATCCCTAGCCCTTCCCCATAGTAACCATCCCCACTTCTCCCACCTAATTTATTCTGGGGGTCACAGGAGGGAGGTGTACCGGATCCTGCAGGAGGAGGGTATTGATCTGCCTCGATATGCTGTGCTCAACCGTGACCCTGCCCGGCCTGAGGGTGAGTACCTGGTCTTGTCCAGTCCTGCTCTGCCTTGCTTTCTATGACTTAGCCCAGTTCTCCATCCTCTAGACATCTCCTATGTACCACCTATCTGAGTGAGGCTTTGGTTATTAGATTACTAGAGGCCCGTTGCACAAAGAGATTCGTGCAATAGCCTTCCCTTCCCCTGGCTGCCGGCACCAGTTTTCCTCCAGCACCCAGGACCCAGGCCTTCACTCCGTCCGGAGCCTTCAGTCTTTGCGGCTCCGGACTGAGCCTTCAGTCTTCACTTCACCGCTTCGCCCCTACGTATGCAAATTAACCGCAATCTTTGTTGGGTTAATTTGCATACTCTTCTGATTGGCTGGTGAGTGTAGTGGAGGGACAGTTAATTTACATGTTTGTCTATTATTAGGTAAGATGGGTAGAGTTAGAGCCGTGGGTCTTTGGACTCAGCCTTGGATCTCTTATATAGATATTATTATGTCTATATACCATATAGATATTACCACATTTATCACTAAGCTGTGATCATAGGAACTTGAGGGTTATAAAAATGAAAACTTGAAGAAAAAGGAGTTGGAAGTATTCTACAATTCTAGGCCCTAGGAATGACTGCATACCTCCTTTTCAGAGTGCAATCTAATAGAAGGTGAAGACCAGGTAGAGGTAAACGGAGCTGTCTTCCCCAAGCCCTTTGTGGAGAAGCCCGTGAGTGCAGAGGACCACAATGTTTACATCTACTACCCCAGCTCCGCTGGAGGAGGAAGCCAGCGCCTCTTCCGTAAGGTATGGGGGAATCAGAGCAGTTGAAGGACAAGAATGAGGTTGTGGGGAGGGGAGCTGGAGGATTTGGGGACAAAGTAGAGGCAACATTCTTTTTTTCTTCCTTTTCCTTCCAAAGATTGGCAGCCGAAGCAGCGTTTATTCTCCTGAGAGCAGCGTCCGAAAGACAGGGTCATACATCTATGAGGAGTTTATGCCAACAGATGGCACAGATGTCAAGGTTATGGTGGATATAGGGATTTAAGAGGCTCTAAATGTCTAGGTGGGATGGGGGCTTGGGGAGCAAGTGGAGGCATGTGGAGGGGGTCATAGACAATAAAGGGTGAATGTGAGTGCTTTCATATTCAGGTGAAGATAACCAGCGGTGGAAGTAGATATTTAAATTGTTACTATCAGCAAGGGCAAGGGTGACATGGAAAATGATATAAAATTAGTAAATAATTTCTTAATAAGGATGATAGTGCTGGAATCCCTAGGAGAAACTTTCATAATAATACTTCAGTAGGCCTCAGTAAGAAAAGTGTCAGTTTCCTTGTTCTTTATATTGAGGGTGTATTTTTGTTTTGTTTTTGGTTTTTTACTCTGAAACTAGTCTACAGACCTAGTGCTCATATTGTCTTCTCATATACAGGGTGCGCTGTGGGCATACTCAGTGATGCTATGTACCTGCAGGTATATACAGTGGGGCCAGATTATGCCCATGCTGAAGCCAGAAAATCTCCAGCTTTGGATGGGAAGGTCGAACGAGACAGTGAAGGAAAAGAGATTCGATATCCAGTCATGCTGACTGCCATGGAAAAACTGGTGGCCAGGAAAGTCTGTGTAGCGTTTAAGGTAAAGGCTTATGGGGGTGAGGGGTGCTATATAATGAAGGAGACAGATAGGAGTAGGGATCTGGGAGGAAAAAATGGCTCCATTGTTCTCATCTTGCCTCTTTGCCCTGCATGCAGCAAACAGTGTGTGGTTTTGACCTTCTTCGTGCCAATGGTCATTCCTTTGTATGTGATGTCAATGGCTTCAGTTTTGTCAAGAATTCAATGAAATACTACGATGACTGTGCCAAGATTCTGGGGTAAGGGACACAGTAGTTTGGGCTGGGAAGAATGGGCTTAGAGAAGAGAGTTAAAAAGCTTTTACTTTAATTTTAATATTATAAAAATGCTTTCAAAAGGAAAATAGAAAAAGGGCTCCTCAGCCCTCTTGCCTTCCCAACACTGCACTACCCAGAGGTAATTACAGTTAACAGTCTTAGGCATAATAGTATGTGTTTTTCTGCCATGTATAAACAAATTATATTTATTGTATTAAATGTAATCATATTGTAATACTGTTTACAACTTGACTTTTAAAAAATTCATCACATAATATTTAAAACATTTAAAAATGTATAAGAAATGATGAATATGGTAAGTTTCCATGTATTCACCATTGAGCTTAAGAAATAAAATATTGCTCGGCCACTGTGGCTCAGTGGTTGAGCGTCATCAGCCCATCAACCAGGAGGTCATGGTTCAGTTATCGATCAGGGCACATGCCCCATTTGCAGGCTCGATCCCCAGTAGAGGTCATGCAGGAAACAGCTGATAGGTGTTTCTCTCTCATCTATCTATCTATCTATCTATCTATCTATCCATCTCTATCCCTTCCACTCTCTAAAAATCAATAAAAATGTATTTAAAAAAAGAAATAAAATGTTAAGGATATAGTTGAGGCCCCTCCATACCCCTCACTAATTACATCCCCTTTCTTCCCATCCAGAGGTATTTTGTGTTTGTTAATTTCATACATATATTAATACTTCTATTACAAATGTGTGGTGGATTTGCATGCTTTTAGACTATTTATATAGTTTTCTACAATGTGCTAGTTTTTGTGAGCTTCATTCCTATGTGTAGTTCTGGTTCATTCATTTTCACACGGCTTCTTCATGTTTCTCCTTCTAGGAACACCATAATGCGAGAACTTGCCCCACAGTTCCAGATCCCATGGTCTATCCCCACAGAGGCCGAGGACATTCCCATTGTCCCTACCACATCTGGCACTATGTGAGCAAAAGTGAAAAATCTGGAATAACCTACTTAAGGCACCTAAGTCAGATCAGTAGTTACTTCCCTGACCCTGTGCATTCTGACTAGGTCTCTTCTAGGAAGTTTTCTTAACCTCACCTATATTCCTAACTGCAGACAGTTTTCCTCTGTTCTTTAACATGTCAAGTAGGATGAAATGAGAGGTGGGGTGGGATGAAATGTGGGAGAGGCTCTGAAAACATTCCCTATCTTAGGATGGAACTTCGTTGTGTCATTGCAATTATTCGTCATGGGGATCGTACCCCCAAGCAGAAGATGAAGATGGAAGTGACACACCCAAGGTACAAAGAGTGCCCTGATTTAGACAAGTAGATTTTTTTGTGAGGGAAATGGGGATGGGGCAGCTCTCAGAGGCTTTGACAGTCTCACCCCATATTGAAGCTTCTCCTTATTTCTTCAGGTTTTTTAGTCTGTTTGAAAAGCATGGTGGTTACAAGACAGGGAAATTAAAACTAAAGCGGCCCGAACAGCTACAGGTAAGATGGTGAATCTGGCTTGGAGGAGCAGTGCTTTGAGGAAGATAGAGGGTATGATATTGGGGGCCTCTGAGAGACCAGGATGAAGGGTACCTGGCCAGGATGTGGTCTTCTCACGGATACCCTATTACCTCCTTCAGGAGGTGCTGGACATTGCAAGGCTGCTATTGGCTGAACTGGAGAAAGAACCAGGTGGTGAGATCGAGGAGAAGACTGGGAAACTAGAGCAGCTGAAGTCTGTGCTGGAGATGTGAGAAAGGGGATAGGAAAAGGGAGCCTCTTAACACTGAGAATTGGGGGCTAGAATAGAAACTCATACTATGAGTTTATCCTGCAGGTATGGTCACTTCTCAGGCATCAACCGGAAGGTGCAGTTGACTTACTATCCTCATGGAGTAAAAGCTTCTAATGAGGGGCAAGGTAAGATATAATACCCCCTTTCCATTATCATTCAGATCTCTTGTTCTTGAACCCTTAGATGACTTCTACCACAGATTACCTTTCTGGGCTCTTCAAAAGACCTAACATTTAGATGGCCCCAGTGTTTTCCTCAGATCTAGGTCTACTTACTGCCTTTTATTCCAGCAGATCCACAGCAGAAGGCTGTGGCTCCATCTCTCTTGCTGGTACTGAAGTGGGGTGGAGAACTGACTCCCGCTGGCCGTGTTCAGGCTGAGGAGCTGGGGCGAGCTTTTCGCTGCATGTACCCTGGAGGACAGGGTGAGTGTTTGGGGGAATAAACACCTAGCAGGGCTGGGATAAAATGATTAGAGGATAAGTTGGGGGAAATGAAGGATCTGAGGCAATGGGGAAGTTAAAGGGGGAATAAGCATTCTTTCTTCCACGTGGGAATTTGTGGTATGCATCCCTGGACCTTCCCTTTGCCCTCAGGTGACTATGCTGGCTTCCCTGGCTGTGGGCTGCTTCGGCTTCATAGCACTTTCCGCCATGATCTCAAGATCTATGCATCTGATGAGGGCCGCGTTCAGATGACTGCTGCTGCCTTTGCCAAGGTGCACCCTACAGTTCTCCCACAGTCCCAGCTTCCTTTAGGTAGAGAAGCAGAGAGTTTGGAGAACTAGTTGGGAAATTTAGGGTGTTTGTGTGCTGACTCAGTAGTTTCTCCTTGTTCCGACCCCATTCTGTACTACTGACAATGCGCTGAGAATAATTAATGAGGTTAGGCTCCTTGACCTATATGTCAGTTCTCCTAGTCAGATCTCATTTGATCTCTCAGACCATCTAGGCCAGGGGTCCTCAAACTTTTTAAACAGGGGGCCAGTTCACTGTCCCTCAGACCGTTGGAGGGCCGGACTATAGTTTAAAAAAAAACGATGAACAAATGCCTATGCACACTGCACATATCTTATTTTGAAGTAAAAAAACAAAACGGGAACAAATACAATATTTGTATTTGCATGTGGCCCGCGGGCCGTAGTTTGAGGACCCCGATCTAGGCATAGGGGAACTATGCTAGACTGTAAGGAAAGCTAATAGACTTTGTGCTTGCCCTCCAGGGCCTTTTGGCTCTAGAAGGGGAGCTGACACCCATTTTGGTACAAATGGTGAAGAGTGCCAACATGAATGGGCTCCTGGACAGTGATGGTGATTCCTTGAGCAGCTGCCAGCACCGAGTGAAGGCTCAACTTCACCATATTTTGCAACAGGATGCACCCTTTGGCCCCGAGGATTATGATCAGGTCAGGCTCTCTATCTTTCTGCCCTGATCCCAAATTTCTAGAATTCTAAAAAATAGTGAACAGTAATTGTAGTTACCATGTGCCAGGTACTGTTGTACATACTTTCCATACATTATCTCATTTAATCCTTACCCTTTGAGATAAGTATGGGTCCACAATCTCTTATCCACATTCTCAGAAATCAAAAGAAATCAAAAGAATTTTTATAAGTTTGGCACCAAGATTCATTTGACAGCAAAACTTGACATGATAAGTATTTGTAATCCCTATTTATCCCATTTAGTGTACATAGTCATATTTTGCTGCATAAGTGTATTTGATTATGCCCCATGCCCTGCTGGAAGTATTATAAAGCATATAGCATATGCACTATATTAACTTCTTAAAGTTTTAAAATTTCTCAATTTCAAGCACAGCTGGTCCCAAGGTTTTTTGAATGAAAGGATGTTTTAATTATTTATTGCTGCATAAGAAACTATCCCAAACTCAGTAACTTAAAACAACCACTATTTCATTGTCTCACAGTTCTAGGCTCAACTAGTTTTGCTTGGGTCTCTCCTAAAATTTCCCAGATGTTATCCAGACATTGGAGCTGGAACCATCTGGAGGCTTGACTAGGATGCTGGGATGGCTGAGCTCTCTTTCTCTTTTTACGCTCTCCCAGTGGTCTCAGGGCCTCTCCTCTCTATATGGTTTTTCTAGCATGATAGCCAGACTTCTTTAAAAAACAAACAAACATATATGTATATATATATTTCTGAGAGGAAGGGAGAGGGAGAGAGAGATAGAAACATCAGTGACAAGAGAGAATCTTTGATTGGCTGCCTCTTGCACACCCCACTACTGGGGATTGAGCTCACAACCTAGGCATGTGTCCCGACCGGGGATTGAACTGGTTCATAGGTCAATGCTCAACCATTGAGCCACACCGGCTGAGCCAGACTTCTTAAATGATAGGTTAGGACTCCCCCAAAGCAGAAGCTTCCAAGCTTTTTTAAACTGTAGGCCCAGAATTAGCCTACATAATTATCAACATAATTTTGATATCTTTTATTGGTCAAGCGGTCACAGGGCCAGTCTAAATCCAAGGGAAGGGGAAAGTGACAAAGAATTAATGACCATCTTTAATCCACCATAAGAACTGTGGACCTATACTACTTTTTCCTCATTTTACGGATGAGGAAATCTAGGCTCAGAAGAATCTAAGCAACCTTTCAAGGTCACCCAGTTAGTATGAACCCAAGGAGTCTAACTCAAGAGCTCAAGCTATTAGCCACTGCATTATACTGCTTCACAGTATTAATCACAGTGGATGCCATTACACAATGTCATCCTTCTTCTTGTGTATCCAGGCCACTTTTGACTGAGGAACATATGCCAGACAATGATTTTCCACCATCCTACCACTGAAAATTCCTCATTTCTGATAGAGTCTTTTAAAAAATTTATTTCTTTAAATTATAGTACCACTTTAACCACTTTTAAGTGTACAGTTCAGTGGCATTAAGTACATTCACACTGTTGTATAACCATTTCTTATAGATTCTTAAGTGATCTAAGTAGCTGAGCACATTGCGTTTTCTGTGTTCTTCTCTGAGCAGGACTTGATAAGGGCAGGACCTTGCTCCTTTATTTTCCAATCCATTGCTCAATGTCAAATCCAAAAAACGAAGCCACCTTTCCTCTCTCTCTTTCTTCTTTTTGTTAGCAAGAATGGAACTCATAAGGCCCTCGGTAGAATGTGTGCAGTCCGCCCACATCTGCTTACCCTCTCCCCGTTCTTCATTGACTGTTACTGTCCTAAAAGCTTGAGTTGGAAACTAGTTCTAAGGCAGCACCTCTACTCTGGGTTCAAGCTGTCATCTTGTTTAGAGGAATCCTATATAATAAAAGCCTAATGTGCAAGTTGACCGAACGGCAGAACGACTGGTGGAACGACTGGTCGCTATGGTGTGCATTGACCACCAGGAGGCAGACACTCAATGCGGGAGCTGCCCGCAGGCCCCAGGCCAGCCAAGGCGGGTGCCAGTGCCCCCCCCCCCCCCCCCCGGCCAATCACCCTGGTGATCTGCCCTGATCACCAGCCAGGCCAAGGGACTCTACCCATGCATGAATTTCGTGCATTGGGCCTCTAGTGAGATATTATCTTTATTACCCACTCATGAAAACATTCTGTGAAGATTTTGAGGAATTTGAGTTTCATCTTTATTCCCCGGCATTTTCCATGTATTTTTTTAGAAACCTCAAGAAAAGAACCTAGGTCTATTTTTATTTCCTCTGGACTCCAAGACTTTTAAGATCAACCCTTCATAAATGACTGTGTGAAAGAGCAGTTCCCTCATCTGAAGGCTCTAGAACACCTGGTATGCCTAGTATCTTAAGAGTGCTCATTGGAGTGATTCAACAAACAGATATTATTCACAGGCAGTCTCTGTAATAAGCTCACGAGGATCTGGGCAATTGGTACTTAGCCTTGCTTGCTTTTCATCTCTCTATTCCTCACAGCTGGCTCCAACTGGAAGCACTTCCCTATTTAACTCCATGGCTGTCATTCAGAATCCTGTAAAGGTCTGTGATCAGGTATTTTCCCTGATTGAAAACCTTACTCACCAGATCCAGGAACGGATGCAGGACCCCAAATCTGTAGGTGGGTATGAATACTATCTTCCCTTCAAGGTTTTAGGTATGGATGGGTTCCTCAGACACTCCTGTGTCCTCTCTCCTAAATGACAAGACATCCTCATCTCTCTAGTTCTGCTTCAGATTTGTTAGGCTCTTTGGTTAGAGGTAAGTCTTGGCTTCTCTGTCCGTCTTCCTTCCAGACGTGCAACTCTACCACAGTGAGACACTAGAGCTAATGCTACAGCGTTGGAGCAAGCTGGAGCGTGACTTTAGACAGAAGAGTGGACGCTATGATATCAGTAAGATCCCTGACATCTATGACTGTGTCAAGTATGATGTGCAGCACAATGCGAGTTTGGGACTTCAAGGCACAGCAGAGTTGCTACGTCTCTCTAAGGCACTGGCTGATGTGGTCATTCCGCAGGTGTGTCTCATAGAAGGGGTCTAACCTGGGGATAGGGGCATTGGGTAAGAAAGGAGAGAAAAGGTAGAAGGGAGGGGTGGTATTGGAACCAGAGGAAGGAAACTTAGAGAAGGAATTAGTTGAGTTGCTACAAGTCTCAGGGTCTGCTCTGGCTCTGAGTAAGTGTAACAGACTAACCGAGGAGAAACCTGGAGAGGGGGAATATGGTGGATATGAAAAAAGCCCTAGACCTGAGGTGAAGACAAGCTTGATCTTGAGCCTGAGAATATGAGGCGAGAGGAAGACAGGATTCATTGAGATACTTATTCCTGGCCTATGGCCCCTAGGAGTACGGGATCAGTCGGGAGGAGAAACTGGAAATTGCCGTGGGCTTCTGTCTTCCACTGTTGCGGAAGATACTACTTGACCTGCAGAGAACCCACGAGGATGAGTCTGTCAACAAGCTGCATCCCCTGTGAGGGAGGGCTGGGAGGGGTACTGGATGGAGGGAGGGGCATGTCAGGGGAGCCATTAGGGGAATCCAGACTGGGGACAGCTTGGGGAACCAAGAACAGAAGGAAGGGATACTGGGATGGACAGGAGAGATGAAGTCTTTGAGGGGGAGGAGGAAGTTTGTGGAGGGGTGGGAAGCTTCCGGATTATTCGATGGTGTGAGTGACTTAGCTATTACCTCAGGTATTCCCGAGGAGTGCTCTCCCCAGGCCGCCACGTTCGAACACGTCTCTATTTCACCAGTGAAAGCCATGTCCACTCCCTACTCAACGTCTTCCGTTACGGGGGACTTCTTGATGTAAGGATCTTTCTTCTTCCTTCAGCCTATGAACATCCTTTTCCAGCATTCTTTTACTCTCCTCTTCATGCTTTTTTTTCCCTCTGCAAGCTTTCTTTGGTCTTCTTGTCCCTCTGGCCATCCCCAGACTCCCTTGGCAAGCATTGCCTTACTTCTTTTTGTGTTCGGTAGGAAACCAAGGATGCACAATGGCAGCGAGCTTTGGCTTACCTTAGTGCCATCTCAGAGCTCAACTACATGACCCAGATTGTCATCATGCTCTATGAGGACAACACACAGGTGAGGAGCTAACAGGATGGGATGAGGAGAGGGCTCCTTCTTTCTCCTCCATCCTCTTTTAGGAAAAAACTGGTTTAGCCTTAGAATTTGTCAAATCCATCCAGGTGTGGCACCTAGGTACAGCATGACACAGAGCATCTAGAGCAGCGGTTCTCAACCTGTGGGTCGCGACCCCTTTGGGGGTCGAATGACCCTTTCACAGGGGTCCCCTAAGACCATCAGAAAACACATATTGAATATATAATTACATATTGCTTTTGTGATTAATCACTGTGTTTTAATTATGTTCAGTTTGTAACAATGAAAATACATCCTGCATATCAGATATTTACATTACGATTCATAACAGTAGCAAAATTACAGTTATGAAGAAGCAACGAAAATAATTTTATGGTTGGGGGTCACCACAACATGAGGAACTGTATTAAAGGGTCGCGGCATTAGGAAGGTTGAGAACCACTGATCTAGAGGTTCCTACTGGAAAAGAAAAGGTGTTTTGGGATGGTGTTGAGCCAGAGAGATACCACAGAACATAGCTCTGGTATTAGGGAGAGTATGGAATTTGGGACATGTTATAATGATTCTTTTTTTTTTTCTCAAAAATTGTTATACATATACCTTCTTCATCTGGCTGCACAAAGATATTTTTAAATGTCCTGCTATATGCACTGCAGCAAAGCTGAATTATTGTGGGAGATGGATTCGGAGGGTCGTAGAAGGGGAAGTTGGAAAGTCATGCCAAACAGTTAATCTCAAACAGTAGAGGTGAGGGAATGAGGATCCTGTAGTAACTCTGGACTATAGTTAAAGGGAAGCTCTAATAAACGAGCCCCAGAATGAAGTAAGACACTGATACCTCAGCCCTGGGAGGATACATTCTCTTGAGTTCCTCTCTGTTGTCCCTGCCTGGTCGTCCACCACCATATCCAGCTTCTCCAACTGTCCCTTCATCTGGTGATGCCCCATAGGATCCTTTATCAGAGGAACGATTCCACGTGGAGCTGCACTTCAGCCCTGGAGTGAAAGGTGTCGAGGAAGAAGGCAGTGCACCAACTGGCTATGGATTCCGTCCAGCCTCTTCTGAGGTGGGTCAGAGTGCTGGGATTTGGGACTGGAAGATTTAGGAACCAAGTGGTTGGGAAACTTGGAACAGTACAGTGAGGTAAAAGGTTTGGGAAGTCTGAGATCAGGAGCCTGGGAGCCATTAATACGTCTCCTGTGCCTGTTGTTGCATAGAATGAGGAGATGAAAACCGACCAAGGCAGCATGGAGAACCTGTGCCCAAGGAAGGCATCAGATGAGCCAGACCGTGCATTGCAGACTTCACCCCAGCCCTCTGAGGGTCCTGGCCTCCCAAGGAGATCACCCCTCATTCGTAACCGAAAAGCTGGCTCCATGGAGGTAATGGGAGGGGCTTGGGAGAAAGAAATGGTGGAATGCTCATAGGACATTATCCATGAATCCTCTGAATCCCCTTGAGGGATGACTCTTGGGACCTTAAGCAGAGTCCTCCTACCCCTGTTGGATATGTTTTACTTAAATATCTTTTTCAAAGCCAGTCTCCCAGTAATGCTCCTTTAAACTGGTTACTACTTCTGAGGTTAAAGAGATGCCAGTGAGAGGTGTCTGAGAGAGAAGGATTTTAAGAGATGAGCATGAGGAGGAGGCCTCTGGATGAATTTAAAAAGGCTTCTTTAAAAGGAAATCGAGTAGAAACAGTATGAGCTCTGGTCTGAAATTGCAGTCCAATACTTAGAAGCTGTGTGACCATTGACAATTAACTTCTCCAAGCCTCAATTTTTTTTCATGTATAAAGTTTAAGTAATATCCACCATATAGATGCTCAGTAAATAGTACTTACTATGATAACAATGCAATTGGTATTAAAGGCTAGGCCCTCTCCATCTCTTTTTTGCCTTGGGTAAAAATTATAGCTCAACAGGAGCAAATATGCGGTACTTTACATTAATCCTTTTAGTCTGGCCAGTGTGGCACTGTTCATTGAGCATCAGCCCATGAGCCAGGAAGTCACTGTTCAGTTCCTGGTTAGGACATATGCCTGATTGCAGGGTTGATCCTTAGTAGGGAGCATGTAGGAAGCAGCCATTGATGTTTCTCTCTCACCGATGTTTCTTCTATCTCTCTCTCCCTCTCCCTTCCTCTCCCTGAAATTAGTAAAAACATATTTTTTAAAAAATTAATCCCTTTAGGATTATCTATACTAGAAAGGGAATCAAGTCTGAAAATCTGTGTTCCCCTTGTTCTAATGAGCAGGCTTATGGCCATGGGCCTGTGTTCTGCTATTCTTGGAGTTTGTCTCTAGTCCTGTAGCCTAGAGGAAGGAACTGTTGTAAATCTCACATGTATCTAGCTAACCTTTCTTGGGTTTTGGTCTGTTTCTCATGGAAAGATTCTTGTCCTTTTTGGCCCTGTTACTCTCTTTTTGACCCCATAATGTATCCGGGTCTCAGGGACTCTGACTGTCTGATTTGAGTCCTGTTTTTATAGATGAATCTGTTCACCTCCCTGTGTGCCAACTCTGTCTTAAAGGAATTGATCTTTCCATTTTAGGGATATCTCAGAAGAATCTATAACTAGCTTGATAGGTTCAGCAAGAGATTTACAGTTAAGATTTTGGAGAAACCTGAGAAGACAAACTAGTCTGTGTTTTGGACTCATCTTTTTCTTCCTGAAGATTTTAAAGTGGATTTGAAGTTGTGAATACTCAGTTTCTTTGGGTGGGATATGCATCATTTTCTCTCAGAGGTGTAAGTTAACAACTCAGTATCCACAGTGCACTTGTACCCTTCAGGTTCATGTGAATAGATCAAATGGATAGAATGACATAATCTTCCATCAATAAACTGCTCCTCCCCCTCTAAAAGTCTTCCCATTCACATAGTCTGCAGTCTCTCTGGCACTGTTGTGCTTTACCCCCTTTTCCTTCTGGTTTAAGCAGTTAAGAGACATAGGAAAGGCAGAGCTCTGTGTATCACATCTCAGATTTGATGCGATTGCCATTTCTTTCAGACCTATAGGAAGCTTCCTGTTGTGATCACATTTCTTTCTTTCAATTACTAGTGTAGCTTATCCAGGATAACTGTTGCCCAAGATGTGTTCCTTCAATTTGCAAGAAAATCTTCTGTCTTCTCCTTGGTCACACAGCCTTTCAATATTAATATGTTCTATATTATCCCTATCAATTACAACCCTTCCCCATCCCTTCTTCTCCTCTTGCTTTGGACTATTTTAGAATACAAACCTGTGACCTTCATTTTCTCCAGTCCTAAAATTAGGTCTGCCCAATAGGCACTGGGGCTTTCGGGGGCCTGGGGGTTAAAGGAGCCTTGACCGGCTTTCCACCCGGTCTGATTTCAGGTCATGAACATGCAGTGCACAGGGAACCTGGACCTGATCCCCTTGCGGGGACGGCGCCGCAGGAGGTCAGGAGACCTCCCCCGGCCTTCCCCAGCCATCGGCCTACAGCCCCGGGCTATGTCTACCACTCACCTGGCATCCTGCACACAGGTGTTCCTCCCTACTTCATCTTCCTTTTCTGCCTCTGTCTTTGCCTTTTGGGATTTAGGGATTCAGAACACTGTTGGGGTTGGGGTGGGCATATGTATGTGGGGGGTTGTATGATTGGACCCTTGTGGGCTTTTTAGAAATCAGTTTCATGTCTCTAAAAGTGGAGGGGCGGGCTTCTTGGTTCAGATAAAAGACTGCGTATAGTTTCCATAGCCACAGCTGTCTTATGGAAAGAAGAGAGGGCCAGACTTTATTTCTTATTGTAGCTGAGCTATTGTCATTAGCTTGCTGAGTCCTGCAGAGAGATAGATAGTATTAAGGAACCCTGCTCTGCTGAGAACTGAGAATGGTTGAATAATGATTTCTCAGATTTGGGATGGGAGGACTAGGAGCACAGGCATCTTGGAAATAGACATGCCTTCTAGTATAGAAGGATTCTCTGGACAGTTTCCTTTTGCTCTGCAAACTACACTCTGTTTCCTTTTCTTCCTCCTCCTCCTTAAAAGATCCTTTGGTTCTTCCAAACTTTCTGACATTGCTTCGCTTTGTAGGGGCAGGAATTCAGGATCTGCTGAGTCGAGTGGCAAATGGTAACATAGAGTCCTTTTTTCTGCAGGTGCTTTCTGAGACTTCGTCTTCCAGGCCTGGTGGCTACCGGCTCTTTTTGTCTTCACGGCCACCTACGGAGATGAAGCAGAGTGGCCTAGGTACGGTTTTCCAGCTTCTCTCGTCTGTTGTTGGGAAAGGGTGTCTGTCTGTTCTTCAGAGTTTTATTGTGGGAATTGGGGTCATCCAGTCAGTAGAATTGTCTGGTGGGGCTAGGGAGGATGAATTTGGAGAAGCCATATTTAGGTGTGAACTTTGATCCCAATGACTATTTCAATTCCAGGAAGGTGTTTGTCTTCTGGTTTTCTATACCAATCCCCCTTTCTCTGACTGAAGGGCATTTTTTGGCTTCTCCTCTCATTCCTTATCTGTCCCTCCAGTGTAGCCCAGACCTTAAGGGGCCATGGAGACTCTGAATCTTCAGAGTTATCAGAGACAGAGCTATAAATAGAGGTACTCATGAACCCTATAAGTGTTATATTCCTCATTTGGAGAATTTGTGCCATGTCTTTCTCTGAGATCTGTGTTTATTATATCCTTGCTCTGACCCTTCCTATCTCCATGTCCTCTCTATCATCTCTCCTAATCCTGTAATTTTTTTTCCTTCCTTCCTGAAAATTGAGGGACAAATCTGAGACTGGTATAGTGGCAGAGGCTTCTCTCAGGACTTTGAGGGAATGTCTCTTGATTTTTTTTTTTTATTCCTGGAGAGGGGTGGAGAACATCATTCAACCTTTCCTCAGAACACAGACTGCAGGAAGGACCAAGCTTCAGAGGGTATTGTATTCTTTGGGAGTGGGGAGTGGTCCTTGGGAGGGGCTATCTTTGAACACAGTGCCTTGTGGACCAGTAACTAAAAATGGCAGGTAGCGATAATTGTGTGGGGCCTGGGCTTGGTTCCCTGGCTTTTTCTATCTTGTCCTATATTCTCTTCATTTAGCTCCTTTGGTTTTTCTGTTACCTTTCTTTTTGGCAGCCAATTTCTTGGCCCCAAAATGGTCAGAATTTGGACCAGCAGAGAAAGATTTTGGTAACTTTCCAGGCTAATTTTATGGGAGTAGGTTGCCTTCTAGATTCCTGAAATGAGATAGATGGTTTGGTTCATGAAACATAAATGACAGATGTACACATCTGTGATACAGCCTCCTCATCCCAGAAGTCCCAGTAAAGAATAGATTTCAAGTAGGCTTGAAAAGAGGATAGGTGTGTCTGGCCCAGTTAAGCGGAAGTGCTGTCATGAACAAGGCAGAGGTATCGGCATGGTAATTGACAGATGGTGTTGGTAAGATGGAGACTACCTTCTGAGATGATCCAAGAACTGAGCAGGACAGGATGGCAGGACTGCACCAGAAAATTATTTAGTAGAGGAAATAAAAAAGCTGGGGGTGGCTGGGGACGAAGCCAGCTAGTTTCAGATTCTCTGAAGAAAAACAGACAATTTAGCAACCCTTATTACTTTCTGAAACCTCATTCTCTAGAGCCTGTTTGAGAACGAAAGGTAGAAGAAGTTGCTGCATAGAAGAGCAGTCCTGAATTCAAGGGTGGAGATTACTAGCCATCTGAGCTTTCTTAATTTCTGTGGTGACCCCAAAATGCTGGGACCCCTGAAACTATGGCCCCTTCTTTGTAGGATCAAAAGAAACTGACCTCCTCCCTACTTTATTCATCTTTCCTATGAATGTTAAGTTCTCAAGCCAAACCCAGGGTCTTGTCTAAGATGGATTTGGAAGTAGTGGGGCAAATGCCACAAACTTGGGTGTTAGTCTTATCTCTTCCTTCCCACTCTGTCCTCATGGGCCATATATGGTAGGAGAAGGGACTATGAGTCCCAGTCCTACTCTTGATCAAATATTTGGGACGATGACTGACTTGATTTATTTGCTTCAGAAATTTTTCAGGTTTTATTTACTTCTCTGATTGGCAATAGGGTTCTCTTAGATTTCTTTGGACATCTGATTTGGAGCATAGGGCTTAAAAGACAAACTTTTGAGAGCAGGGAAAATCATCTTTTTTGTTGTTTCCTGCTCACTAGGTCCTCTTCAGTAGGGTGCTCTGCACATAGTAGGCAGACCATACATATAATCACCTGACTTTTCACATGCCTTTCAATTTGTGTCCATCTTCACTTCAGAAACAACCTGTTTCTTCTTGATAAAAAAATAACTTTTTTCCCCCCTAATTGAACACAGTTGATCCTCGGAGTCATGAGATCTGGATTCTAGTCCAACTTAGCTCCTAACAAACTGTATGATCTTGAACAAATGAGGTCCCTTTTGAATCTCAGTGTCTTCATCTGTAAAATGAGAAGGTCGAACTGGATAATTTTTCAGCTTTAAAAATTCAGTGAATCTCATACTTCCTTTCTTGGGAAAGGTAAAAAGGCCTAAACGGAGATAGAAGGGAGGGAATGTTGGATGAAAAACTTAGGAGAAATTGGAACTTATGAGAACTTGGGATTTGAGATGAGTGTTCAAAACTTAGTCTGTAGTTTCAATCAAAGTTCTTTACTTTTAACCTATAAGGGATTCGATATCTGGGTTCTTTGAACCTTATATCCAGAGTAAGGAACACGGAACCAAATCTAGGGATATATAGAGTGATTGCCTATTCTTTTTGTATTCCCGAGAGCCATGTGGAAAGCATAGTCTACCTCTCTCAGTAGCTTTGAGTCCCCTAATATCACTAACCCTGCATTGTAGTGATCCCTTGTATCAGCCATGTAGATCTTCAGGAGAATCCCTACTTTGCTTGCTCAGTATAGCTATGAAAGTAGTGAAAGCTGTTTGTGGCTGTGTGTAGTAGCCACAAGATGGTGGCTCTGAATGGCTGTGTGTGTGTGTGTGTGTGTGTATCTTGATGTTGTCATGTGATGTTGTGTGTACTTCTGTGTGGTAATTGCAGCTTTGCGTGGCTACTAATGCACTCCCGGCCTTGCAGGCTCACAGTGCACAGGGCTATTCAGCACCACAGTGCTGGGTGGCTCCTCCAGCGCCCCGAATCTTCAGGACTACGCCCGCAGCCATGGCAAAAAGCTACCGCCTGCCAGTCTGAAGCATCGAGATGGTATGTGGGTGGGTTTGGGGGAGCAACTCTTTTCTTCATTTGTCCTCCAGCAAGGACACATTTCAAGTAATTTATGCTTAAGATGGCACTGATGCTGGCCTTATAACAAGTTTATTCATCAATTATAGAGAGGAGAAGGAACCAAGGCCTCATCCACCTCCATTTGCACTCTCTCTCACCATACAAGTATTACTTATTTATGCTTATCCCTTCATGAACTCCCACATACAGCCCTGCTACATCAATTTACTCCACCTCTATATTCTTTCCTGGATTCTGGTATATAGGGGTAAGGACCAAGGAGGATGATCAGGAAGAATGTAGTCAAGCCTTGATTAAAATCCTGGAAATCAGGGATGGGGAAGTTGCTTAGCAAAGTCTGGAAAGATAATATGGAAAGAGACTGGGGGAAGGGATGAAAGTTTCTACAAATATTTTATTTCTAGCCCTAACCGGTTTGGCTCGGTGGATAGAACATCAGCCTGTGGACTCAAGGGTCCCAGGTTCGATTCCGGTCAAGGGCATGTACCTTGGTTGCCCGCACATCCCCAGTAGGGAGTGTGCAGGAGGCAGCTGATCGATGTTTCTCTCTCATCGATGTTTCTAACTCTCTATCCCTCTCCCTTCCTCTCTGTAAAAAATCAATAAAATATATATTTTTTAAAAAATATTTTATTTCTAAATGATGAAAAAGAGGATGTGGTGGTGAAATTAGAGTTGTTTGTAGGGCTGTATCGTGGTAGAGATGACACATGGATTCCTAAGGAGAGATACCAAAGGAAAAAAATTGAAATGTGGTAGTTAGGAATCTAAGGGTGGGGGTGGGAGCAGGTCATATACTAACTGTAAAGAACAGAGTATGTTGCTGGCAAATTCCAGAGCAGAGGGTGGGGACAGGAGTGGGTATAATCCCCATGATGTCTTTTCTCCCCAGAGTTCTTGTTTGTCCCGGCCGTAAAACGATTTTCTGTGTCGTTTGCAAAGCATCCGACTAACGGTACGTTTGCTTCTGATTCAGTGTCATTCATCATCACCATGTCACCCCCAGACACTTAACCTCTGAGTTCTGACACCGATTGTTCCTCTCCTACCACTGTGTCAACACCCTGCTGTCTCTGAATGAAACACTCACTAAGTGTCCCTCTTGGGACATATCCCCTGTGTGACAAACCTTAGCCTTGGCTGCAGCCTGGCTGCTCTATCCCTGTAGCAACTCAGGGTATTACTTCCATGGTCACCATCATCACCACTGTGTCACTTTTTTCAGCATCATCACCAAAACATTCAACCTCTCTCTTTCCCATCACATGACTGCTGGGCTTTGTACAAACAGAATAATGGTTCCCCATCTTAAGAAGAAAATAGTATTTCCTATATTATCCTTATTTCTTCTTTCCAGCCCCAACCCCACAACTCAGCTTATGTAATTTTTATCTTCCTATTTTTTTCTCCAACTCTTTTGTTGGAGTGGATCACTAGTTTGTTTCCCTCGGGAGCAATGCTGCAGTTCCCAGCTCCCAAACCTACCTATAAGGACCTTGGTCTTGAGTATATAGTCTCCCATCTCCATATTCCTGTATCCTACCATTATGTGTACTTGGTGTGGTTCTTGTGCTCTTGACATCTGCTTTATGTAACTACTAACCTAGGGCCTGGGCTTAGAAAACAGGAGCCCAAATTAATCTGGGAAAAAAGAGAAAAAGAGAGGAGTAGGAGATAGTAGGTAAAGGAAAAAGAATTATACCTCGAGTTTTTACATGTGATTTCCATGTAGCCCTAGCCTGCCTAAGGCACTGCTGTCTCAGGCTTGAAGTGATGAGTTTAGATGTCTGCTGGGACTCAAGGGGAGCTTAGGAATGAATGATGTAATAACATTTCAGTAATATTGGAGAATTGGGTCTACCCATACTAAGATGGGAGACCCAAAACTGAAGGGCTGTGCTCTCTTTGTAGGGTATGGCAGGAGAACCCCAGGGCTCACTCCCTGTTTTATCTTTTATATCTTTTAAAATTTATTTTAGAGGAAGGGAGAGAGAGAGAAAGAAAGAAAGAGACATCAATGTGAGAAACATCGATCGTTTGCCTCCCACATGTGCCCTGACCGGGATCAGACCCACAACCTGGGTATGTGCCTTGACCAGGAATTGAACCCACCACTTTTTGGTGTGCGGGATGATGTTCCAATCAACTGAGCAATGTAAATTTTTTTAATAAAAACCATTCTACAGCATTTACTGTCATCTGGCAATAAAATAAGGGTATTGAAAGCAATATTAATAAATGTTTGCCCTAACTGGTTTAGCTCAGTGGCTAGAGCGTCAGCCTGCAGACTGAAAGGTCCCAGGTTCAATTCCGGTCAGGGGCGTGTACTTTGGTTGCAGGCACATCCCCAGTGGGAGGTGTGCAGGAGGCAGCTGATCGATGTTTCTCTCCCATCGATGTTTCTAACTCTCTATCCCTCTCCCTTCTTCTCTGTAAAAAATCAATAAAAAATATTTTTAAAAAAATAAATGTTTAACTATACTTCCAACAAAGGACACCTACAAAACACAAATTGCTTCTCAGTAGTTTCTCACTTTGTTAGTCATTTCTAGTTGGAGACACTTTAGAGCAGAGTAATATCTCCTTTTAGCATGATCCAACCTAGTTGTTTTCTTGACTTTTTTTTAGAATGAATCTCTTCTACATCATCTAATACGAGGTTCATATACTCATCAAAACCAATGATGCAGCCCTCTACCCACATAAACACTTGCTCAAAAAGCCATACCTGAATCCAAGATCTGTTTTGCAAGTATCTGAAGATGAGGTTGATGGGCTGCACCATCACCTGCAGCTTTTGGCCCTGGCCACTGCACGCCATGGTGGAAAGCTAACAAAGACCACACTAAGCCACGTGCTACCTCAGAAAGCTAAATCTGGAATCTATCCTTTATATCTTTAGTTTCTTGTGCAGTGTCTCTTGTCTTCCAGATAAATCTAGTTTTGTTATATATAGTTTTCTTCTGTCCAAGCGCTAAGATTTTCTGAGGGAGGTAAAATTAGCTTGCCTTTCTGGCTGGAAAATCCTCCAGGTACTGGTCCTCTCTGTTCCTCAGCTAGTGGCAGATGCTAGATTTTAGCCTTGTTAGGCCATACAACTCCACTAGGCACTGCTGAAATCTCCCCAGCTTGACTAGCTTATACTTGTTCAATTTATACCCCTACCCAAGCTCCCATTTGTGCTTGTGACAGGAGCTCTCCATTAAGAGTGGCATGGCTGTACCTTAACATTTAACTTTACACTCTCTGGCCTTCATGTACCACAGTCTTCTCCAGAGTAGAACCTCATGTACAAACCCCAACCCCACAGCCTGGGACTTAGACATGGAGACATGTTTCTTAGGGTACAGAATATAGTACCAGGAACTTGGGCCCCTGAAATCTGAGTTAAATTATAGATCTCCTAATTCTCAGGCTCTAGCAGAAAAGATCCAAATTCATAAAGCAGATCCTCAAACCTATATACCTCTAATTTCCTGAAGCCTTGGTTAGCAGCCTCATCAGTTGAAAAAAAGAAGAATTAATTCTACCAAAAGGAGGAGAGGAAGAAAGTCCTGGAAAATTCAGGTATAGTGCAGGAGGACAAATTCAAGATCTCTTCCAACACCCTGCACAGTTTCTCAGGGGTCTTCTGGCTTTTGTTCTTCTTGTACTTGAGCTTGGGGGCTACAGTGCTTGATAACCAGAATCTGGGATCTAACTCTTAGCAATAGGAGAAATTTAGACCTATTATATCTCTTGCTGAAAATTATCTAGATTTAATTTGGCCCTCTGGACAACATGAGAGCTCTACCCCATGGCCAAATCTTGCTTGACTGACTGAGCAATTACAGAGTAGATGTGCTGCCTGCAATTGCTTGTGGCAGATTAGTCACAACATTGTGCCAGTCTACTGTCCCATCATGGCAACAAGTCTGGCTTTGAAATAACAGCTAGAAAAACGGGGCCTGGCTTTAGAAGAGAGGCAAGGGAATGCTGTCTCCTTGCTTTGATGGGAGAACATCTCTCAGCCATCATTGCCTCTATTCCTGATAAGCTTTGGCCACATCCTGACTACGTCAAGTATACATATATGGCCCATTACTAAACTGCACACTGAACTCACCAAAGTAAACTAATATTGGAAAAGAGACTGTGGCTCACTCTTATCCAGAATGTCAGAGTGTGCCAATTATATTTGCCACATCCATTTTTTTCTAGGGACCCACACAACTGTCTGACCATTGGTACAGTTAGTGCTTGAATAGAGCTGAAACCTCTCTTGACATTCAAACTAAGGTCTCTGGAATCCATAGTTTCATGGGATCACCCCATATAACAAGTTCTGGTCTGAGAGTTCTGAGCAGTCATCCTCAGCTACTTTGATCCTACCGTTGCTATACCAACATCCTGTCATCAGGTCTTAAGACCCCATATGGGTAGATTCCCAGGATCTTTTCCCTACTGTTTCTGGGGCTTCTACATGCCTTTCACTATCTTCAACCTTTTGCAGCTCAATCACATATATCCACAAAGTTTGCCAAGCATATAAAATAATAAGTGGTTCAGGACTGAAGCTTTTCCACTGACCAGCTGAACAAAATGCAATTAGACTTACCAGCAGTAGGAAGAAAATATAAAATTATCTAACTTTTGGCTTCTGTAATGGATACAGTATCTCCAAAGTCCTGAGATTTATGCAAACATTTTTTGATTCTATATATTTGAACAAGAATAAAGGATAATTAGCCAGTAATAGCATTTTCACATATTGATTCCATTTTTTAAATGCTCTGTTTTACACAGGCTTTCCTGCCAATCTCCTATGCCTGCTGTCTAACAACAGCCATATCTGTGTCTATCTTAGAGCTTGGTCCAGAGAGCTGCCCTGAGCCCTTAGGAGCCTTTTTAGCTTCAAACTTTATCTTGATAACTCTATACCATTCTTGACATTCTTCTCTGAATGACTTTGAATCTTTTTATCTCTATCCTAATCTCATAAATATATTAGACTGAGAAGTGGGACCTATCTAGAGTTTGTCCAAGAATGATCTGGGATACTGGGCCTCTAGACAAGGTTCCCACAGAACTCCAAAGCCAGCTTACGCCTGTTCAGAATGATGTGACTTCTATCTACACTGACTGAATTATGCTCAATGAGAAAGGGGAGGGCCTTATTGTATGATGAGGTCTCACTAGCCCCTTCTTTTAGACTTTCTGTGTGATGCCAACTCTCTTTTTTCCTGCAAGAGATTCCCAGTGGCTCTGACCATCTCTGCTTCTTTCTCAGCTCACTTTTGAACTGAGTGGCTCCACTTCCAGTAATGCTTGTGCCAGTCAGTGCCCCCCTCATTGTCTCTCCCTCTTCTCTTTCTTTATCTTTGTGCTTCCTGCCGTGGTACCCCTACCCCCTGCAGAGCTGCTGGATGACCAGCACCCTGTGGTCCGGTTGCTGCGCCGTTTTTCCTCTGACTGCTCAGGGGGCCAGCCAGTCTCCTTGGATGCCACGCTGGCGCATCACCTGCACCAGTGCTCCTACCACCTGCGCCTCTTCCGGAACTGGCTGCGCTCAGGCCAGGATGACCCCGAGTGCCTCTACGGTACCCCCTGCCACCAAGCTGGCTGCTGCCACTACCCTGGCTGAGACCGACTGCTTTGCTTATTGCACTTCTGGCAGGAGAGCCCACTTAATCCTTTCTTTTATTTAACCTCAGGTTATGTGACTTGCATTTTAGTTGCTTGGATGGGATTGGGGCCAGACTGCCTGGTAGTTATAGCACTGGCTGCTCATTCCTTCCTCACTGCCTCCTAATGCTACCCATTCCCAATTCTATTCAGTACAGGGTTAGTTTCTTGCCCTGGATTCTGTTCTTATCTCTATAACCTTCTACTACCACCATCTTCAAATCCAAACATTTTTCTACCCACTCTGAGGATCTAGAGACTGTACCTCTCTTGCTCTCCTACCACTAGAATACAGGGGGAAATTGAGGCACAGAAATCTCAGTCGAATCCTTGAAGCAAACAAGAGCCAGAGGTTAGAAGATAATCAGGTATAATTCTTTTGATGTTTTAGTTATTAGTGAACAGGAGGCTATGTCTTGCATAGGTATTGCTGTCCTGCCTCCTCTTAGTTCATTTAGGGAGACATGGAGGAGGCACGGGAAAGACTGGGGACTGAAAAAGTGGTTGAGATGTGTGCTTCTTGGTTCTCCAATGGGGACATTTTTTCAATAGGCCCTGGGATTAGGATTTAGGTTTGCCCTGTATCCTACTCAGAGTGGTGGACCTACATTGGAATTATTGGGTTCAGAGCAGAGAATCAGTATTTATTATTTCTCCTAAGGGAGTTTCCTCATTTTCCTGATGGGATGGAAAAATCCTAACAAGTCTGGGGTCTTCCAGTGAGAACAGAAGGGAGAAGCTTTGATGTGATGGAAATGACCAAGAAAGAACTTCCATTCCCCAGCCTATTCATGCATGTGATTTTCCTGGGCTGAGCTCCATACGTACTGCATGCCTTCCAGCTTGCTTCCAAATATTCTAGCCTTTCTACCCATATCCTAAATCTGCATGAACCCCTTCTCAGATTACATGTCCTCCACCTTAATCTGGTTCTCTTATACATGACCCCTGAAATCTGCTATTTCTTTCCAGCTCCATGACCTCCCTAACCTCATTTAGACCTACAGTTTCACCCCTTACGTATGGACTTTTTGTTTTATTCCCCAAGAAAGTATAAGAGCAATGTAGGTGTTTACCCTATTGGGATGCTGTTTATTTTCCCATGGGACATTGCAAGCTCTCCATAGGTAGGATGAGAGGTGTTTTACCTGGAGGCCTTAGCCAGTAGACTTTTTAGGAAATCTGAAGGTGACAGAAATAGACTTCTATTGGGGCTCTAAAGAGTTCCCTCTCATGAGAATCTTGGATTCCCCACACTCCAAAAGCCATCAACTCTTCTGATGGCTCTCAGGGATTCTCCATGCTTCCTTGGCCAGTGGGGGTATATCTGGCAGGAATAATATTGACTTTGCCCGTCTCTTTTCTAACAGGATTTGAAGGGTGCTCCATGGTGCCTACCATCTACCCCCTAGAAACGCTGCATAATGCCCTTTCCCTGCATCAAGTAAGTGAATTCTTGAGTGGAGTCTGCCAGCGCCACACTGATGCCCAAGCACAGGCATCTGCAGGTATGGAGAATACTCTTGTTTTGTATCCCTATCTCTGCCTTCATTCCCATGCTTTCTAGAACATGAGTAAAAACTTAAAAATATAGGCACTCCAAATACATACAAAAAAAGACTTGAAAAAAATATGTTTAATTGTAGGCCAACTCAAAATAATAGAAAAATCATTCCGTCCCAAATTAATTTATAAATTTAGTGTGATCCAATAAAATACTGTTGGTTTTCTAAAGTCAGACAGATCAATTCTGAAGTTCTCATTGAAAAATAAACAAGCAAGAATAGCCAGGAAAACCTTGATTTTAAAACATTATATAAAAATTTTACTAAAAAAGTGTAATATTGGTATATGAATAGACAGAGAGCAATCAAACAAAGTAGTAAATTTAGAAATAGATGAAGTTAGCATTTCAAAATATTGGGGGAAAGATATACTTTTCAATAAATGGAGTTGGAACAATTGAATATTCATTTGGCAAAAATTAAAATTGAATCCATACTTCATGCTATATACCAATATAAACTCCATATAAATCAGAGATCTAAATGTAAAACTTAAACCATGCAATAGGTAGCTCCAAGGGCTTCTCCTTTTACTGAAACACCAAAAAAATCAAGCAAAAACTGATACAGTCAACTTTATCAGAACTCTGGAAAATAGTCAAAGGTTTGCAACTACCAGGAAAATTCTGAATCAAGAAGGAGGTAACCTAAAAATGGCAGGAAGCTTTCCAATATTTTTACTTGACCTCCTCCCACTCCTGTCCCCACCTCGGTAGCAGTCGTGAACATGGCAACCCATGCTCTCAAGGTGGGACCCTAGTCTCTGGTTCCAGAGGGAGCAGAATAGACTTTATTCTCCAAGATTTGTATTCGTTCTAATTTGTGTGTAGGCTACCTGAAGGACTGACATAGGGTGCTTACCTTTGTTGCACCTAACTTGGAACTCACTCAGTATATAAATGTGGCTATGCAGAGGATATTACTTGAAAACACAGTAAAGCAAATGAACATGATGTCTGGGACAAAAATTATAGTTGAGGCAAACAATAGGCATACGGAAAGCCTGGGAAGAGAGTTTCTTTAGATAATTAGTCATTCAAAAGCACCCACATACACTGGTAAATTTAAAAAGCTATGCACATGCCTGGGAAAGGACACTTGAGCATAACATACATGAGAAGACCCTAACTCTAGATTCAACACAAGCAGGGAGTGAAGGCTAAGGCAGTGTTGTAAATAGTCTGGCTAAGTGTTGAAGGAGTACCTCAACATAGAACCAATCTGCAAACACTGTGAGAACTCCTCTCTTCTTTCCTCCTTTCTACTCCTTTCCCTCCTTCCTCCCTCTCTCTTTTTATTCCTGATATATTCAAGGAAATCCTTATCAAAGCCTTAGCTGAACATAAACCAAAGTAACAAAGATTTCACAGACTGCACATGACAAAGAAGACAGACTTTATAAAAATAGTTTAGAAAAATCACTAAACAGTCTAGCCAGTGTGACTCAGTAGTTGAGTGTCAACCCATGAACCAAGGGGTCACTGGTTCAATTCCCAATCAGGGCACATGCCCAGGTTGCAGCTTGATCCCCAGTAGGAGACATGCAGGAGGCAGTCGATTGGTGTTTCTATCTCTCTGTCCCTCTCCCTTCCTCTATCTCTAAAAATCAATAAAAACATACTTAAAAAAAAAAGAAAATGAAAAATCACTAAACAGCTGTAGATCACAGCAAACAACAAAAAGAAACCCTGAAGGGAGAGGGGCAATTTGATTTTCAGAGTTAATACATTATAATAGTAAAAATGTCCTTTTTTCAACTGAAAGAATTATATAATATGCATAGAAACAAGACAGTGTGATCTTTTACAGAGAAAATTAACAGAAATAATCCTTGAGGAAACAGACATTAGATTTTCTAGACAAATATTGTAAATAAGGAAAGGAAACCAGGTTCAGAGAACTAAAGGAAATCAGGAGAATGATGTCTCAACAAATAGAGAATATCATTAAAGTGATAGAAAATATCAAAAGAAACCAAACAAATTCTGAGGCTGGAAAGTATAACAGAAATGACAAATTTGCTAGAGGATTTCTTAGAAGATTTTAACAGGTGGAAGAAAGAATCAGCAAACTTAAAGATAGGTCATTTGAAAAAATACCCAGTCTGAAGAGGAGAAATTGAAAAGAATGAAGAAAAATGAACAAAGCCAAAGAGATTTGTGGGACACCATAAACATACCAACATGTGCATAATGGGAGTTCTAGAAGAAGAGAGAGAAAAGGAGTAGAAAAAATAATTGAAGAAATAATGGCTGAAAACTTCTCAAATTTGATAGATACAAATATATACAACCTAGTAGTTGGAAGATAAATGTAAAGAGAGCTACCCTGCGACACATTTAAATCAAGTTGGCAAAGACAAAGACAGAGAAAACCTTTTGTTTTGGTTTGTTTTTTGTTAATCATCACCTAAGGATATTTTTCCATGGATTTTTTTTTTTTCTAGAGAGAGTGGAAGGGAGAGGGAGAGACACAGAGAGAGAAACATGAATGTGAAAGAGACACATTGACTAGTTGCCTCCCGCACACAACCCAACCAGAGCTGGGGATCAAGCCTTCAACTGAGGTACAATCCCTTGACCAGAATTGAACCCAGGACCCTTCAGTTAGTAGCCAGTGTTCTATCCACTGAGCAAAATCTGCTAGGGTGAGAAAGTCTTGTGGCTCAGTGGTTGAGTGTCAACCCTGGAATAAAGAAGTCATCAGCCAAACCGGTTTGGCTCTGTGGATAGAGCGTCGGCCTGCGGACTGAAAGGTCCCAGGTTCGATTCCGGTGAAGGGCATGTACCTTGGTTGCGGGCACATCCCCAGTGGGAGGTGTGCAGGAGGCAGCTGGTCGATGTTTCTCTCTCATCGAAGTTTCTGGCTCTCTGTCCCTCTCCCTTCCTCTCTGTGAAAAATCAATAAAATATATTAAAAAAAAAAGAAGTCATCAGTTTGATTCCCAGTCAAGGCACATGCCCGGGTTGCAGGCTCAATCCCCAGTTGGGGGTGTGCAGGAGGCAGCCAAGCAATGATGTTTCTCTCATTGATGTTTCTATCTTTTTATCCCTCTCCCTTCTGCTCTATCTCTAAAAATCAATAAAAACATATTTTTTAAAAACCTTGAAAGTAGCAAGAGAAAAGCAACTTGTAGGAGTCATCTTAATAAGATTAACAACCCATTTCTCATCAGAAACTATAGAGACCAGGGCGTGGGGAGGAGAAGGGCAGGCTAGAAAGGGTCAGTGGGGGAGAGGAGAGGGGAAAGGGGACATATGTAGTACTTTCAACAATAAAAATTTAAAAAGAAAAGAAAAATAAAGAAACCATAGAGGCCAGAAAGCAGTGGGATGATGTATTTAAAATGCCAGAAGAAAAAACACTATCAATCCAGAATTCTATATCTGGCAAAACTTCAAAAATGAAGAATTAATTAAAACATTTCGAGGTCAACAGAAGTAGAAGGAGTTTGTCACTAGTAGACCTGTGCTACAAGAAATACTAAAAGGAGGCTTTTAGGCTGAAATAAAAGGACACTAGACAGTAACTTGAAGCCATAACAAAAAATAACTCTCATAAAGGTAATTACATTGGTAAATATAAAAGTCAGCATTATAGTATTTTTATTTGTAGCTCCTCTTTTGTTTCATATATGAATTAACACAAAAATCAATACAAAATTACTATAAGTCTATGTTAATGGGTATATAACATATAAAGATATAATTTTTGACAATGACAACATAAAGTGGGGTAATAGCTTTATAAGAGTAGAGTTTTTGTATGTTATTGAAGCTAAATTGCTATAGATCCAAATAAGATTATTATAAATTTAGGATGTTATGTGTAATCCCTATGGTAACCACTAAGAAAATATCTAAAACCTATCTAGAAAAGGAAATAAGAAGGGAATCAAAATGGTTTGCTACAGCCCTAGCTGATTTGGCTCAGTGGATAGAGCGTCGGTCTGTGGAATGAAGGGTCCTGGGTTCAATTCCAGTCAGGGGCACGTGTCCGGGTTGCAAGAGGCAGCTGATCAATGATTCTCTGTCATCATTGATGTTTCTATCTCTCCCCCCCCCCTTCCTCTCTGAAATCAATAAAAATATATTTTTTGAAAATGGTTTGCTACAAAAAAATTAATTAAACACAACAGATGGCCATAATAGAGGAAATGAGGAACAAATAATTTATATGACATATAAAAAGCATAGCAAAATGGCAGAAGTAAGCCCTCCCTCATCAGTAATTATTTTAAATGTAAATGAATAAAACTCTCCAAACAAAAGGCATAGATTGGCAGGATGGATTTTAAAAAAAAAATTATCCAACTATATGTTTTTATAGGAGACTCAATTTAGCTCAGTGGATAGAGCACCAGCCTGCGGACTGAAGGGTTCGATTCAGGTCTAGGGCAAGTACCTCAATTGCAGGCCGATCCCCAACCCCAGTCAGGGTACATCATGAGGCAACCATGAATGTGTCTCTCTGTCTCTCCCTATCCCTTTCACTCTCTCTAAAAATTAATGGAAAAATATCCTTGGGTGAGGATTAACAAAACAAAGAGAGAGAGAGAGAGAGATTCAATTTAGACTCAAAGACACAAATAGGTTGAAAGTGAAAGGATTTATTTCATGCAAATAATAACCAAGTGAGCCCTGACCGGTTTGGCTCAGTGGATAGAGCGTCGTCCTGTGGACTGAGGGGTCCCGGGTTTGATTCCGGTCAAGGGCATGTACCTTGGTTGTGGGCGCATCCTCAGTGGGGGGTGTGCAGAAGGTGGCTGGTCGGTGTTTCCCTCTTATTGATGTTTCTAACTATCCCTCTCCCTTCCTCCCTATTGATTTTATTAAAAAATCAATAAAATATATTAAAAATAATACAATAACCAGGTGAGAGCTAGGGTATACTAATGTCAGGAAAAAATAGTCTTTAAGTCAAAAAATTTTAGACAGCCTGGC